ACCTCTCTGCATCTCAGTTCCTCTTATATAGTTGGCCTTTCTCTCTCTCTCTCTCTCTCTCTCTCTCTCTCTCTCTCTCTCTCTCTCTCTCTTTCTCTCTCTCTCTTTCTCTTTCTTCCTTCTTTTTCTTCTTCTCCTCCTCCTCTTCCTCCTTCTCCTGCTTCTCCCCCTTCATTTTCTTTTTTGTAATATCTGTGTAACCTAGGCTGGCCTGAACTTACTATGTAGCTGAGGATGACCTTAAACTGCCTCCACTTCTCAAATGCTCCGATTAGTGGTACATACCATTATGTCCAGTGTTATGTCGCGCTGGGGATCAAACCCAGGGCTTCACACATTCTAGGCAAGCACTCTACCAACTGAGCCATAACCCTAGTCCCTTGGTTTATCTTCCAGAAGGTGAGGCAATGTGAGTTAATCTGTGTAGTGCTGAAGCCACAGGGTGACCTGTGCCAATAACTGCTAGTCACCACTGTCCCCAGCACACTCCCAACCACTAGGGAGCTCGCAGCTGATCTGGGAGATAAAACCAATGAATGGTGGAGCTAGAGGAAAAGATCAGACAGTGGATCAGCTGCAGGACTACCAACATGTCCCTGTGGCAGATATCCTAGGAATTGGGATAACTTGGGCCCAGGCACATCCTTCAGTAGTAGAACAAGAACCAGCAATGCCAGGTGTCTTAGTTAGGGTTTCCATTGCTGTGAAGAGACACCATGACCAAGGCAACTCTTATATATTTAATCGAGGCTGGCTTACAGGTTCAGAGGTTTAGTCCATTATCATCATGGCAGGAAGTATAGCAGCATCCAGGCAGACATGGTTCTGGAGGAGCCAAGAGTTCTACATCTTGATCCAAAGGCACCCAGGAGGAGGCTTTCATTCCACACTGGGCAGCGCTTGAACATAGGAAACCTCAAAGCCCACCCCCACAGTGACACACTTCCTCCAACAAGGCCACCTCTCCTAAAGTGTCACTCCCTGTGGGCCAAGCACTCAAACATGAGTCTATGGGGTTCAAACCTAGTCAAACCACCAAACCAGGACACTCCCTAGACCTGGCATGTCTAAAGTCTGATGCAGCTAACTGCCTGCTGCAGCTACTAATAAACCTAACAAGTTTCTTCACCTGCCAGCTTAGCGGGCCAAGGGTGTGGCATCTGGCCCTAATGAAAGTGGCCAGAGCAAGAGCACACACAGAGCATAAAGACTTCTTGTCCCCAGTGTAAAACAGGAAGAAAGAGAGCTGGGTGGGGCCAGGTTCAAGCTTTTCTCACAACGCCCTCTGAAGAGCTGCCTGAGGTGAGGGAGTCCATGAAAACTACCTAAATCCCTTCTAAGGACCCAAGAATGCCCCAGCAGGCTCCACTTTTCCAAGGCCCCACCACTTTCCTTATTGTCATACTAGGGGACAAACCTCAAATGCATAGACTTTGAGGGACAAAGGACATCCAAACTACACCATCCAGGGACCTAGGAGAGCAAGCAGAAAACTAAGGGTGAGTTGATTTCACCCTTACGAGGTGTGAGGACCACCTCTGTTTGGCTAAAGAAAAGAAAAGACTATTGTCCCCATAATGGCTTTAACTGATAGAGATATCTATCTCCTACAATAAACTGAAGGCAGTTCAGAGCAAAGAAGAGAGTTTAGGCAAACTCTGAGGGTTCAGTATTTCTCCATGCTCTGATCTGTCATCCTTGGCTTTCCTCAAGCTGTCCTGTAATTTGTGGTCACAGGAAGATACTTCCAGACCTCAGTTTTGCACTGTAGGCAGAAAGGGGGAGAGGAAGCAATAAAGCCAACAGTTCAACTCATTGTCCAAAAGCATAACAACACATGGTCGGTCACCTCTAGCTGCAAGAGAGTCTAGAAATAAGTAGTTCAGATGAGCACAATGACTTTCAAAATATGGGTAATATTAGCAATATAAAGAAGAAAAATAAAGTAATATAGGAAGAAAACTGCAGCCTGTAAGCCAAAGGTGGCTTACTGCTTGCTTTTATAAATAAAGTTTTATTGAAATGCAGCTGTGCCCATTTGTTTACAATACTAAAATAGTGTTGAGTCATATTAAGAAACTATCTAGTATCCAAAGTTTAAAATGTTTGCTCTCTGATCCTTTACAGAAAAACTTGCAAATCTTTCTGAAGTAGATAAGTTGTAGTATCTGACAAAATACCAGCAAAAGGCAGACTTCTCCCCAGCCCCAGAAAACTCTTATAAAGAACCCCATATCTTATGCCCAACTTTAAAGCTGGTTTATGTGAGACAATGCACAGACTGAGTCGAGACGTGCCGCAGTGTGAGTTGGGAGCTGAGTCAAGCAGTGGGGACCGTGCTGGGCTGGAGCTGTGAAGACAGTTCATCCCGAGGATCCCAAGACACAAGAACTAATGCATGACATCAGTTGGCCCAATGGTATGTGTCCTTCTCCCAAAGCTGTGATTAAAGACAGACACTGTGCCCAGTCTTTTAATGCACAAGCTGAGAATTCACACTGGCACCCTCACGCTTACAGAGAAAGTACCCTTACCCACTGAGCCACCTTTCTAACCCTGTTGCTTTGTTTTTGAGGCAGGTTCTTACTATGTAACCCAGGTTGGCCTGAGACTTGCTATGTAGCCCAAGTTGGCTTAAAACTAACCATCCTCCTACCTAAACCTTCACTGGCATGATAGCCATGGCCCACCTGCCCTCTATCTTCACACTTTAATTTCCAGGTTGAGCTTACTGACTTTGCACTCACCAAGAATGAAACAATCACACTGTCAATTGGGCTGAATACCACACAATCAAACAGCAACTTCAAGCAATAATGTCAAAACATACCAGTTTCTCTTGAAGACCAATGCCAGCTTACTTGAGTCGGGATATTACACACACACACACACACAAAGGCAAATGGTTGTTAATAAATTTCTTCTTATTGTTCAATCCCGTGTTATCCTGCTGGTGCTTGAATGTGAGCTCCTGAGAAAGGACAGTGAGAGGACACTGATGAGCAGGGAGTGGCTCCCTCATTCTCCTGGTTTGGTCTCTCCCTGGCTGACACCCAGGAATTTCAACATAATCATCTAGGCCACCTGTAACAAACTCCTTTCTGGAAAATGCTCCAAAAGAGATTAGTAAGACGGCTGATGAATTATGCCTGGAGTCCTGACTCCTGTGTGACCTGGGCATAAGAAGTCCTTTGAGCAATGTTATCTGTGAGGGCTCCCTCTTCCAGGAGCAGGCCTGACAGAGTATCTTAAAAGCCTCTCCTGAAGGACAGAATTCTGTGGATAAGACAGTGTTCTCAAAAACACTTTAATACTTTTGCTTAGCTATATCACATGCAGCTCCTGATCAGGCACACATGGGGTACTCCCCCACCAATGTACTCTGAGAGGGACAACCAGTGTCTCTCCTATCCTAGTGGAGAGCTGTCCATTAAAACCAGCAGATCTATAGCTAAATGTGCTTCAATTTTCCATTTTGACAAATAGTTCTGATTCCCCACCCCCTTTTCCCTTGCTGTTCTGGGAATTGAACCCAGGACCTTGTGCATTCCAGGCAAGCATTCTAACACTGAGCTATGTAGCACTATATCCCCAACCCTTTATCTGTGTCTTGGTATGTGTTGCCCAAGCCCACTTTTTGAGACAAGTCTCACTAAGTTGCCCAAGCTGGCCTTGAATTTACCCTGTGACCCAGACAAGCCTTGAACTTTTGATCTTCCTACCTCAATTGGGATTACAAGCCTTTTACCATCAGGCCCTACTAATAAAAAGTAATTGAAATACTTTAAACCCGACATCTTTATAGCTAACCACACAAGCAGTAAGTCTGGAACCCACTGAGTTAGCCATTTCCACAATAAAGCCAGCTCAGCCTAGGGCAAACTTGCCTGTCCAACAATGGTGCTAGGGAGAAACCAGAGGAAAGTCAGCCCTTCCAGATGCCCAAGTATAAAAGACCTGGAGCTAGTAGCCCACTCAAGCCTGATCCCCAAGACTGGGAAGGGTACCCTCATTAGAGAGTGGCGGCATTCGGCGGTTCTGCCAACCACGCCCTTCTGGAAGCACCGACTTGGACCCATAGGGCCAAAGATGCATCTTGGTCAAGGGACGCGCCAACTACGGTTACAGAATGAAGGAGTCCCAGGCTAGCAGGGGCGGAGGGCGGGAGACGGTGTTGGCCTTAGATAAAGAAAAGGGATCTTCTGGATGGGCTCCTGGGGTAATTGCCCCACCTCGCCCAGAGCCCGACGTGGCGCAGAGGACAGCGAGCAGGAAGTCGCGCTGGGGGCGCGGCTTGGGCTGAGCTGCAAGTGCAGCCGAGGGCGGTGCTGCAGGTGCACCCGAGGGCACCGCCGGGAGTGAACGCCAGGTCCCTGCATCGGCCAGGACATCAGAGTTCAGTCGGGTGGACAGGCGGTACGTTCTGGAAGGGAAAGGGCCCCGGGAAGGGGATACAGCATCGAGAAACTCAAAGGCTTTGGTCTGAGCATCCAGAATGGACTTTATCTGGAGGAGGTGACGTGGCTTCTGGCCTCTGGAAGTGCTGCTTGGATCTCCGGGACTTCATGTCCTCCTGACTAGGTCTGGAAGCGGTGAAAATTGGGGTAGGAAGAAAGGAGAGGACTGCAACAAGGTCTTCCCGAGTGGTCTGAGCTCGCGGGAGCGGGGAGGTGCAACGGTGGGGAGCCGGGCGCAAAGGGCTGGTGTGGGGGTCTCCAGAAGCAGAAAGGTGGTATTCCATTTTCTGGGAAGATGGTGAAGATGCACCTGAACGAGTCTAGTCGATCTGAAGATGCGGGGGGGGGGGGGAACACAGATAGTGCGGGTGGAGGGGAGAATGACAGAACCTTCCAGAAAATGGGAGAGGCTATAGCACTTGAAAACCCTTCCCTGGTCTCCGGAGATTCCCGGAAGAAGAGGGCAGGTGTTTGGGCACAGGTGCAGACTTGCCGGCGCGCTCCTGACGGCCGCGGGAAGTGGGAAAGGCCTGGCGAGCTGGCCCTTTAAGGCGGCTCGTAGGCGTGTCAGGAAATGCGCGCCGGAACAGCCCCGCTCGGTGAGTGGCCGGGGACTGGCGCTGATGAGCCGGAACTTGGATTCGGCTCGTGGCAGCCGGAGCCGTTCTCCGGTCAGGCCCCTGTCCGTGTCCCTCGAGGCGCACCCTGTCCGTGTCTCTCTGCAGCACCCTCCCTTCGGCTCAGCGGGGGTTTCCGGGGGCTTCCCGCTCACCGCTTCCCACGTGGTCCGCGTCCGGTTATTTTCTCCTCTGCTCTGCCCTTCTGTAGCTCTCTCGCTTCCTTTCTCCCTGCGACTCACACGTCCCCTGTCGTCAAGATGGCCATGGCTGTCAAGGCCCGCATCCTTAGTTAGGCCCCTTCTCCCTTCCCTGGGTCTTGTTTCATGACCCCAACCCCACCCCACCCCCGCCCCCCGCCCCGGGAGCGAGCAAGATGAGGAGCGGTGCACCATGGCAAATCCGGAAGCAGAACTTCATCCAAGAAGGAGGGGACCGATAGATCATCCCATGTGACAGTTGAAGGCTGCAGCCACAGGCCCTAACAGCTTGAAGCCCTGTAGTTCAGGGAATGCTTCTGGCCGTGAAGTGATCCATCTCTTCTGCCACCATGAACAGGGCCCCTCTGAAGCGGTCCAGGATCCTGCGCATGGCGCTGACTGGAGCCTCTGCTGTCTCCGAGGATGCAGACAGCGGAAACAAGCCTTTTCTGCTCCGGGCTCTGCAGATCGCGCTGGTGGTCTCTCTCTACTGGGTCACCTCCATCTCCATGGTATTCCTCAACAAGTACCTGCTGGACAGCCCCTCCCTGCAGCTGGATACCCCCATCTTTGTCACCTTCTACCAATGCCTGGTGACCTCGCTGCTGTGTAAGGGCCTCAGCACTCTGGCCACCTGCTGCCCTGGCACGGTAGACTTCCCCACCCTAAACCTGGACCTCAAGGTGGCCCGAAGTGTGCTGCCGCTGTCCGTGGTCTTTATCGGCATGATAACCTTCAATAACCTCTGCCTCAAGTACGTCGGGGTGGCCTTCTACAACGTGGGACGCTCGCTCACCACCGTGTTCAATGTGCTTCTCTCCTACCTGCTGCTCAAACAGACCACATCCTTCTATGCCCTGCTCACCTGCGGCGTCATCATTGGTGAGTGGGGCTGGGGGGCTGGGGAGCAGGAACCGTAAAGATCAACACATTGCACGTTATGTGTCCTAGGTCTCTTGCCATCACCAATCATAAGAAGAGACCTGTAGAGAACAAATAATTTCCTTACTGTGACTCCATAAGTTAGGGATCCAGCCAAGGTGAAAATAATAATGTTAGCAGACACTACAACAAAGCCAGCTAGGCAAAGCTAAGCGTTTGCTCCATGTTAACTTAACTGATCCCCATTACAAGGTAAAATATAGCTGCATTTTACAGAGAGAAACCCGAGGTACAGAGAAGCTGAGTAACTGGGATCACACAGCTAATCACTGGCAGAGCTGGGATTTGAACAGAAGCAGTTACCTCCATAGATCACACTCTTGACCGCCACGCCACTGTTCTTCTCAAGAGGTCAAAGACGAACTCATGATTGGCACAAGTACCTCTACCCACTGAGCCATTTCAATGGCCCAAACGTGTGTGCTTTAAGAGGCTTTAACTACCTTTTCAGATATGACCATAAATAATTACTAACAGGAATGTTGGGCTGATCATTACACATGTAGCATCCCCTATATGTACCCATGAGCCCTCTGAGTGGCGGCATCTCTGTGAAACTGCAGCTCAGAGAGACTGTGCTCCCTGCCACAGCCCCACAACTGAGAAGCAGATAGTCTGGGATGCAGTCCCGTGTTGGCCACACTCCCTGGCCTGTGTTTCAAGCCAGTCTGCCTTGCTCCTGTCCGTTGGGAGTTAGCATGATGCAAACCAATACTAACTACAGGCCAGATGTGCTTTTAAGTGAAAGCCCAGGAACTCTGAAACATCCAGTTCCTCAGCTGCAGCTGCTATATCCTGATTCTGCAACCGTCTTTTCAGTGCCCGGCAGTCACATGTAGCTAGGGGCTCTTGGCTTGGACAGCTCGTGTTAGAGAACATGTTTGCCACTTTGAATGAATTTAGTGGCTGCTGGGTTACAGAGACCAGGGCGTCTTTTCCCTCAGAGACCTGGATGAACAGAAAGCATTCTTCATTTGTACCTGTTCTGGTTTTAGTTTGTCTTGTTTGGCCTACTTAGATGTCCCTGGTGTCTCTGAGGCCCAGGCTGGTTGCTCTAGATGTAGGGACCAGGCCAGCCTGTACCATCTTCCCTAGAAACGTTCCCCTGGTTGGGCAGCTCCTGGATCCAGGGGTAAGAGATCTGGGCCAGAGAGAGGTCAGGTAGAAAGCCGTCAGCACTGCCTGTACCCCTCCCACTGCCCTCACATATATGCCCTAAGAGAGCTGGAACTCCTCCCTTCCTCTCCGTCCCACAAGCTACCCTGGGTCCCACTTCAGTCCATCAGCCCCGCCAATGTTAGAGGGGATGAACCTCCTAGTGGCAGAACTGACATGCAGGCAGTCGCTGGAGAACCTGAGCTTGGGTCCCCAAAGTAACAAGTAGCTGATAGTGAGGCAGCTGAGCGCCATGGCGGCCTGCCCAAGTGGCACGGGAAAGTGGAGCTCTCTGCTGCCCTCAATACTGGCCGCATCCATTGGCTCTCCCCTCCCTTCCTGCTGTGAGGGAGGTCCATCTCTGGCATGGCCTCCTAGACATGCACACTTTGCAAAGCCTCTCGGGCTCACAGCCCCTCCAGGGTCTAGGACCTTGAGAATGGAGTCACTTCTGAACTCAAGTGGTAACCAACAGGAGGCATGGGGTGCTCTGGCTGCACAGGGAAACCCACAGTGGGCTCTGCTGAGCCAAGTGCCTATGATGCTGGAGAGGCTTGTGCCCTTGTTCTGAGATAGCATCTTGATATGTTGCCCAGGCTGGCCCTGCCCCCAAGTCCGAGGCACCCAGGGCTTGGGGAGCAGCACTTTGCCTCTTTGCAGCTTCTCTAAGACTTGTAGCATAGCAAGTCTCCATGAGGTCATCATCCATTGAGCAGCTATTAACTTGTGGCCAAGTATTTTCCAGGCCCTGTATCGAGTTTTAGGGTACAAGCTTGAGAAAGGTAGGGTGGGGTCCTCGCTCCTGGTGTTGATGTTGATAACAGAAACAATAGTTACACTAGATGCTAAGGGCCGTGGGTATCTAGAGGGAGCAGGGAGCGTGAGGGATAATCTGAGCAGGCCTTGCTGAGAAATCCTTGCTGGCGTGAGACTGCCCGAGTAGTACAGGCTGGGAACACACCTTTGACTGCAGTGTCTCCTGAGACAGTTGGGAGTCACAGAGGAAATATCCACTGGAGGAAGATGGTTTTAGTCAGAGACAGAGAATAGATTGGTTAACATGGGAGCAAGAGCATGGCTCCAATTTTTACAGATGAAGGAAATTGGAACTCAGAGAGGTTAAGTAACTTCTCCCAAGCAGCTTAGCTTCAAAATCACAGAGCAGTCAGAGGCTTGATTGCTCTGATGCCTGTGCTGGTCCTGCTATTCCATGTTGCTGATTCCTGCAGCGGCAGTAAACCTCTGCCTTGTGGGAGTACAGGGTCTAAATAAAGAGACCCTAGTGTTGCCACAAGCAGGCGTCTGCCAGCCATGAGCAGGCACCTACAAACCACAAGAAGGCACATACCAGTCAGGGCCTGCAGGAAAGATGCAGATACACAGAGCTCTGTGGATATACAGAGAAAGGGAAGCTAAGAAGATGGTTTGAGGTTATCATGTGACAAAGGAAGTGCTGGCCAGATGCAGGAAGCCCAGCGCTGTGGCCTAGGGAACCACTGTGTAGGTTCTTTGAGCAGAGGGTGACCCGAGAGTGGGTAGAGTCCTGGATTGACTGTAAGCAACATCAGGCCATGAGCAGCTGTGACCTAATGACACCAAGGGAGCCAGAACCAAGTCTTAGAGCCCTGTTCCTTTTTAGTGCCTCAGGTCACTTTACTAACCCTCTTCCTTTAGAGCGGTGCCCCACTCCCACCCCCCAGACCATCAGGCCCCTGTGCTATTTTATAGCCCTCATTACAGTGATTACAATTGTAATTAGAGAGTTGGCAGGGTCACATCTGTCTTTACACATTCCCCCACTGCTAGGTTCTGCCTGGGGGAATGTGGAGGGGTATTGGTATAATTTGGGGGAGGGTTATGCCCCCCCTTTGCTCCCTTTATCTGCAGAGTATTTCTATACCCACTTTAGCCCATATAGCTCCCAAATAAAAGACACAGAAACCTGGTATTTTTATTAACAAGCTGCTGGCACTATGCTGGACAGGTTCTGAACTATTCTAACTCTCTAAGCTGCTACTGCCCAGATGGATGCCTCATTACTGCCATGTGAGTCTTTCTCTGGCTCTCTCTGCTCCCTGAGTGTCCTCGTGGCGAATCCGCCTGGTCTCTCCACACATTTCTTCTCTTTCTGCTCCCCTCTCTCTACCTGGGACCCTCTCACTGAGATCTGATGTTCCAGCTGTACTGTCCTCTCCTGCCCAGTCATAGGCTGATTGGCTCTTTATTAGCCAATCAGAGATGATGGAAAAGTTTTCACATAACATTGAGACTGGAGATGCTTGACCCTCAAGATTCTTGCCTGTCACCTGTACTGTAGCCAGATGTCTGGGCCCAAAAATCAGCAGCTGAATATACAGTACTGATCCCCCAACAGAGGGGGAAGACAGGCTTTCATTCTGAGCTCCACTCTCAGCCCATTTAGTGCCGAGATTAGACTTTGTATGTGTTGATGATGAGGTAAGGGCCATGGAACAGTCAGAACTGTGGCATCAGAGTCCTGTCCCTCCCCATTCTGTCCTCATCCTTCCTAACCTTGTTACTCTTCTGTCTCTGTTGCAGGTGGTTTCTGGCTGGGTATAGACCAAGAGGGAGCTGAGGGCACCCTGTCCCTGACGGGCACCATCTTCGGGGTGCTGGCCAGCCTCTGTGTCTCACTCAATGCCATCTATACCAAGAAGGTGCTCCCTGCGGTAGACCATAGTATCTGGCGCCTAACCTTCTATAACAATGTCAACGCCTGTGTGCTCTTCTTGCCCCTCATGGTCGTGCTGGGTGAGCTCCACGCCCTCCTGACCTTTGCGCATCTGAACAGTGCCCACTTCTGGGTCATGATGACGCTGGGTGGCCTGTTTGGCTTTGCCATCGGCTATGTGACAGGACTGCAGATCAAATTCACCAGTCCCCTGACCCATAATGTGTCAGGCACGGCCAAGGCCTGTGCACAGACAGTACTGGCTGTGCTCTACTACGAAGAGATTAAGAGCTTCCTGTGGTGGACAAGCAACTTGATGGTGCTGGGTGGCTCCTCCGCCTACACCTGGGTCAGGGGCTGGGAGATGCAGAAGACCCAGGAGGACCCCAGCTCCAAGGACAGCGAGAAGAGTGCTATCGGGGTGTGAGCTCCTTCAGGGATCCACGGCTGAGCTCAGGTGGGGCCTACCCAGCACTGAAGGCTTCCCAGAGAGCCAACTGGGTATGGCCCTGAGCAATATTGTTTACATCCTCCTCAGAAAATGATCTTAGAGGAGCCAGGTTCTTTCCTGGTAATGTCAGAAAGCTGCCAAATCTCCTGTCTGCCCGATCTTCTTGTCTTGGGAAAGCCCTACTAGGAGTGGCACCCTTCCTGCCTCCTCCTGGGGCCTGTCTACCTCCATATCGCCTCTGCAGTTGGGACCAGCTGCACTGTTTGGGGACTGGACTGATGAAGTGACGTCTTGATGACATCTACACAAGGGAGATGGGTTGTGACCCTACCATATAGCTGGTTGAAGGGAGTTGAGCGACCCCACATCTCTGGGGCCCTGAGCAGGCAGCATAATAGCTCAGGTGCTGTTAACATCAGTAACGCTCCAGACCGCCTTTGGAGGCAGCTGGGAGCCAAGAGAGGACATGGACATTCTGCCCTCTTCTGTGTGGAGGGTACGGCAGACCTGTGGGAGCTGCACCCACGGTGTCTGACGAGAAAACACTCACCTCGACACTCCATATTTGCAGCTTTAGGACAGGGGGAGCCACACATTTTACAGATTAAGTAGAGTCATGATTGCCTCTACAGCCCCTAACCCTGGCTTTTCCTGTCTGGCTTCTCTTGGCCCAAAGGGGCTGCCATCCTGTTCTCTAACACCTGGCCCAGCTACCTGGCTGTACCCTCTTTCTGTACTCCCTTTTCCCCTGTAAGCATCCTCCGACTCCTCCATCTGCAGTCAGGAAGTAGGGTCCACTCATAGCCTCTGTTCCCATGTGCTCAGGTCCCCAAGCCCCTCATGGTGGTAAGAGACACTTATGTTCTCTGAGGCTGGGGCTGAAGGAGCCCATTGAGTCTCAGAGTTAGTCCTTCAGGCTCCTGTCACAAAATAGCCTAGACCGTGTGGCCAAGAACAGTGGAGGTTGGTTTATAACTGTTCTGGGGGCAGCAGCAAAGCCCACATCAAGGTACTCGTAGACCCAGTGTTTCAGAGGAAACCCCTCTGCCCACATCCTCACATGGTAGAGGCACAGATGAACTCCCTCAGGCCTCTTGTATAGGAGCACTAACCCCATGAGGGCTCCATACCATGACCTAATCACTCCCAAAGCCTTCAACATGAGTCCACAATGAATTTGGGGACAGAAACACTCAGACCATAACACCCCAGCACCACACCCTCCTAACCTCAGGGTAGCTGTCACTGTCCTAGTCCCTTCTGTTTGGCCTTTTATACCCCCATTTCCTTGGGGTAATGTTTGATGTCTTTGTCCATTTCATGAAAAGATGGGGAAACCATGTCCAGCCTTTGATTCCCACTTCCCACAGGTTCTAATGAAGTTGGTGGGGCCTGATGCCCTGAGTTGTATCTGATTTAATAAAAAAAAAAAAACAAAATAAAATAAAATAAAATGAACCAACAAGATATAGCATGTGTGTATGGACTGAGAGACACAGGACCCAGTAGGGATCTAAAACTCAAGTCTGTGGGGACCCAGCTACAACAAGCAGCCTTCTGGTCCTGGAGTCTCTTAGGACACAGATTTTCCAAATACCTACTCTGGGAAGTGGGTGTCCAGAATGCAAGTTTCCATCAGTACTAGCTGCCACTGGCTGTGTGTTTACTGAGGGCAGACATGGTGCTGAGGCTGTCCACCCTTCCCTCATCTTCACTGTCATTCCAATTGTGTGGGATGGGAGCCATCACTGACACCCCATTTTACAGATGAGGATACTGAAGTTCAGAGAGGCTCATGAGGAAGTAGCAGCAAAATTCAGAGGGAGAGCCTCCTGCAGCACCTGGATTACCACCTGCTACAGGGTCTGTCACACAGTGGATGCTCAGAAGAGTGCCTGCTCCCTCAACCTGGAGCGCAAGAAGGTCAAAGCTATGTTAGCCTGCTCACTGTATGACCAATACCTGAGTAAACTGCTTGAGGGAGGAGTACTGTTACAGCTCCCAGCTTCAGAGGTTTCAGTTCACACTGGAAGGTCATATGAATGGGACACCCACGTGTATTGGGTCCTTGACTCAATGCTGACCCTGTGATTCAGTCACTCCTACCAGAAGAGTATGGTGGGGTTGGGGTATGGGGATAATGCCAAGGGCAAGGAGGCTTTCTGGGATATGTTAGATGGAAGTTTCTGCTTCCTGTGTACACCTGTGAGCATTGAGTAGGAAGGCCCCACGGAGGAGGACACACACCCCAAGTCAGTAGCTTGTCCCAGCAGATGGGAATGCTGTCACCTTGCACCCCTCTTAAGGCCAGCAGAACCACCCAACCCACATCTAGAGAAATTGCAGGTCATCCTAAGCCTCAAAATTGTGGGGAAACAGCCTACATCAATAGATTCCTAACACACTAGGCTGGGATATGGGCTGGGTTATTTGAAGGAAACTAGGTCTCCTTATAGAATTGTAGGCTCCAAAAAGCCACTGACAAAAGGCAGCAACCAGAATCTGGGATCCTGCAGCAGCAGGTGCTCCTACCGGCCAAAGCCCCCCACGGAAGTACCTGATCTCACATCTGGGTGTCTCCTGGTAGATGGGCGTGACTGGCTCAGAGGCCATGCAATGGGCCTTTTACCTCACAGGATGCTGGGACAGCAGCCCAGGGACCATCCTGAGATACTGCCTGTAGGAGGTTCTGAGGGCTAAGAAAATGAGACCCCAAAATGGTTATTTTTTTTTCAGTCTTGATCTTTCTTTGTTCAAAGATACTTTTTGCCCTTGAACTTGTCCAAACTTCATTGCTTTGCAACTGAGGAAAGTAAGACATAGAAAGCTTAAAGGAAGTTTCTCAGAGCACAGAGCAGATCACCGTCTGCCCAAAACAGACTGGTGTGCCCTGGTCCTGACCCAAGTGCCTTCCACAGGGTTGCTTTTGTGTCGGTTCTGAGGATTGAATTTGTGTCCTTATGCTTGCATAAGGACTGTGCCTAATGAGTTATCCACCCCATCTTTAATTTATTTAATCAATTACTTTTCTATAAGACACCACTTTAAAAAATAAAAATAAAAAAGGCGTAGAGGCACACACCTGTAATCCCAGCACAGGGGAGGCAGAGGTCAGTAGATCCCTGGCCAGCCAGCATAGCCTTATTGGCACACCAGGCCCTAGTAAAGAAACTTCTCTTAAAAAAAAAAAAAAAGAACCTATTGGATGAACCCTAAGGTTGACTCCTAACATCCATATGCACACATGTGTACACACACACACATGCAAATGGTAATGATTAGTAAAGTCTGTGGCATGCTTAGCACATGCCAGACACTAGTCTAAACACAAAAGTATATTCATGTCTCTGATAATGGTAATATCTCCATGTCACAGAAGAAGCCTCCTTAGTACAGAGGGGTTAGCATAGCTCACAGCACAGAGCAGACTCCCTCTCTACACTCTGAGACTCCTCATGAACACAAAGACAATGTCTGAATCATCAATGGCTGTAGAGCTCTGACCCACACCCTTGGCAGCTATCAGGGCCCCGAAGCCAACCACCTCTGCAGTATTGACCCAGGACAGTCTCCTTCCTAGCTCTGCCTCCACCATCAACATTTCCAAGCCGGATCCTGCAACCTCCTAGCCTGCACACCTTTAGTTAGCTTGCTGCTAATGCCTCCTGTTCTACTTGTCCACGGATGGTACCCTGAAGTCTCCCCTTTGTCTTCCCGGCAGTCCTCTCCCCTCCTCTGCCTGCCTTCCAGCCTTTACCAGGTACTGTAGCAACTGTACAACTGTGGTCAACCCCGTTGCCATAGCAAACTGTAACCAAATCATCCTCATGTGCTCTCATCTGGGTGGCAAACTCAGGACCAGGGAACCCTGTAAAAGGCCCCAAACTCCAAATATTAAAAAATACCATTGGTCTGAACAGTTGCCACCCTGGCTAGCTCTCTTCTAAGTTTTGAAGGTAGCTGAGATTAAGTTGCAATCTGTTTGAGCAGTTTTCTGTCACAATCACACCTAATACCTAAGTTCATCAACTTACAAAGAGAGGTGTTGGCTAGGCAGGATACCTCTGCCTATGATCCTAGCACTCTGGAGGAGGAGGCAAGAGGAGAGAACATTTGAGGATAGCTTGTTCTATATAGCAAGACTCAAGACATGCTTTGAGTTTTTGGTCTATGACTAATGGCCCAGCTTTAGACCTGTGGTGGGGCAGCACATCTTGCCTGGATCGTGGAGCAAAATCCGAATCCGTCACCTCATAGCTGGAGAGCCGAATGGAAAGGAGGGCCCCTGATTACCTAAAGACACTACGTCTTAAGTATTCGACCTCCATGGTAACCAAGCCTCCAACTTACAGATGACCTCTGGAGGACACTGAAGATCCATACCACAGCAGAACCACAGCTGTGCTGTCTGTGTGTCTGACTGGTGGATGCCATGTGGGAGGAACTTCGGTGGGCAGGCGAGCTTCTTGGAGATGGTTCACTGTTTTGCACAGCTGTAATGGATCTTACCTCACAGAGACACGGCCCCAGGGCCTTTGTCTCTGGCTTGCCTCTTGCTGCTGGGTCTCCTTCTCATGTTTGTCACTGCTAATATTCCTCCTGTATCTGGCATGGTGTGGGTGGGCACCAGGAGACTCTCACTGCCTATAGTCTGGTATGATTGCTTCTTGGGAGACAGCCCATTCTATTGGACAGTTTTCCTGCAGATCGATATGAGGATGAACTTTTATAAAATAATGATGTTTGAATGAATTGATGATTTTACAGAATTTCTGATTTAATTTAAGTGCATTTAGGAAGTTAGGGTAGTTGATAGGGAAGATTTGGGAGATGGTTTGGGCTATAATTTGGGAGAATGTTTGGACAAGAAGATAAAATAAAGAGAACTAAGAATAAAATGTGCCCCTCTTTGTAGAGTAGTGAGGGCTGCCTAGATTAGAAGAGGAGCACAATGAGCTTTCACGAATCACAGGCACAGAGTTGTATTTGTGGAACAGAAAACAGGCTTGAGACAAGTCAACAATTAAAGAAAACATGACAAGAACAAAGTGAGCTTGGCTGCTAAGGGCTGAGAGTTCCACCTACAGGACACAGGTTAAAGATCAGGGGCAGTAACGGTGTCTCGGTGCCCACTGTTAGGATGGAGTTTCTCTGTTTATTATGAAATCTAGTTTTCCTGGGTTTGTAACTCTAAATTTGCTGATGGGGTTTGGTGTGCGCCTTGAGGACTTCGTGCTGCGCAGCGTGCAGACTGGATAGAGTCTTGTGTGTCTGTTGTCTTAAGAAGGTGAAAGATCTCTGACCTACAGTTCTCTACATTTCCTTTACTATGAAAACAACGTAAGAATTGGTAGAAAGTTGACTGTGTTAGATGACTAAGAACTGTTATGTTAGAATAACAGGACATCTTTCTCCTCTCTTGTAATCACAAGACACAGCCGCCAGTGAAGAACTGCCTGAGAAAGACACCTTGCTTGCTTACACGTTGTTAGTCGTAACGGGTTGCTTAGACATGAATGTAATGGATCCTTGGGAATAATCTGGTTTTCACCTGTAATACGTAAAATGATGAATCACATGAGGGTATTGGAGGACATACTGTTTTTTACTTGTATGCATTTTGATCACTCATAGGAAGAAAAAATGAAAGGGAAAAACGATGTAATTTTTATACTGCTTGAAAGATTTTGCTGAGGGATATAAGCTATGACAGGAAAATTAAGTTGTTGGAGCCTTGCTTCATCCATTCTCTCTCTCTGTGTGTGTGTGTGTGTGTGTGTGTGTGTGTGTGTGTGTGTTCACCTTCTTTGCAGGCCCCAGAGAATTAAGTTTTGCTCCATCAGAGAAAAGTCTGCTTATGAATTGTGGGCCCCACGCGACCCCTCAGTACCCACACTGTCAGGGATAGCCTTTGACACCTGGCTATCACACGGTCGCAGCCTCAGTTTCCTAGCCATGTCTCAGCTGTGATTGTAAACAAATGTCTTGATATCTCCTAACCTTCCTGCCTAATCTGTAGAGCGGATGACTCTTCTGAAGGGCAGTGAAGTGACAGGGTCACGGGTCACAGTAGCAGAAAGGCCCATTAAAGGAAAAGCCTTTTCTTTACATCAAGAGAATGGAATCTCCAGCCTGGATGGAGACCTAGCATTCTAACTGGGCAGGTCAGTCTCTAACAACCACTCTCAGAAAAGCAGATCCACCTGACACCATGCTAAAGAGCTAGAAGGAATAATTATCCCTTCAGTGAGACATCTTTTTCTTTCCCAGAATTCCTGCCTCCTGGTGTAGCCAAGTAGCTTCATGAGTCTGCCAGCTTTTCTTTAAAAAGAAAAAAGATTTGTGTATTTATTGTACTTTTTATGTATAGGTGTTTTGCTTGCTGGTATGTCTGTGCATGCCCAGTGCCAATGGAGGACAGAAGAGGGTGTTTTGTTCCCTGGAACTGGAGTTATAAACTTCCATGCTA